GTTTATTATTCATCATTTTCTTAAAACGCTTCGTATTGAGCGGAACGGTTGTTCACGCGTCTAAGGCCAGGCGCCCAGATCCGAGCCAACGCTTCCGATTCGGAGATCGCGCCAACCGAGCGCTCTGATTGGTCGGGGTTTTTCGTTAATAACTCCTCAACCACGCCTCGGACAACTTTTTCGCTAAGGAAAATATTGCTTGAAATTACGTCAGGAACCTCTTATTTCAATATCTTACACTAGTTTTGGAAAACCCTGTATATAATGTATATTGAGATTTTATTAAAAGCTCGATGATTCATGCAGGGATACTCCTTTGTGCCTTTTTATGTCTGCCCGTAGGTGGAGATGTTGTATCAGCGTTACTTCTTGCGTATGAATCAGAGCAACATGACGCACGTACTCGGCCTACTGGCCGGCCTGTCCATCGCCCTGGGCTTGCTGCTAGTCCTACGGATTATTCTGGAAGATAAGGAACAATTCCTCCACACTTTCGAAAAGCCGGAGAATCTGTCTCTGGCCGTCACGCTCCTCGCCTGTATCGCAATTTACGCCGGTGAGTACGCTCACGCTCGGATAGCCACACGGGCTGCAAATAGAAACCCAGTGGAAAAGGTCAACCATATATTTTAATAAATATGTTATTCTGCGGTTGGAAATCAAATGTCAGTGGGCGAATAATGGTTTGGAACTTACAGGAAGCAACTGTTTTAATGTATTAAGTTTTTAAGTAGAATTGATCGAAATAAGTCAGACGCGTCGCTTCGGTTAAGTGGAGGCAACTGGTATTGGGTCAGACGTTGTTCCCAGGCTCAATTTACTTATTGCGTTGTGACGGTTGATTGCTGCCACCTGAGCTTTCATTCGATTGGCTAGAAAGTAATTTCGGGTTTTATAACACGACTGTTTGTGAAAACTGAAATTGCTTTCTTGACATATTCAATAGTTCTTCGTTTTTCTATATGTATTGCTGTCTTCATTTTAATATAGTTTAATATATACTTTATTCATATTGTTTATATGATATATAAAATGTGCAGTGTTTCAATATTGAAAATAATT